CGTTTCCGCCCGGCGCCATTTGCAGACGGACCCCGGCTGTGAGTCCCGCCCCGGGAGAGGGGAGGAGGGAGACGCCGCCCGGCACCTGCAGCCCCGCGCCGGGCCCGGCACCCCCGAGAGACGCTGTGGCTGCCCCGTCCCGGGACCCGGGTTAGCGGCTGAGAGCGAAGGGGGAGAGCCATCCCCAGTGTCTTGACCTTGTTTGTGCCGCCTCTTTTTTGGGAAGGGGGTTTCCCGGGGGTTTGGGGCCGCAGCCCTGGTGCCCATTTGCAAAATGGAGCAGCTGAGGGCGCGGGGCCCGCCCTGCGCCGGGGCTTTACTTGGGTCGCGCTCGCTGGGGCCTGGTGCGGAGAGGTACACACACATTACTGAGGAGCGTCCCCTTCACAAACCAAGAGGTGGATTAATAACTTTCAGCTCAGTCGGCGAGGAGGCTGCTGCTCCAAGGATTTGCATTTGCTAAATAAATAATCGGCGCCTAAAAGCCGCAGGCCTGCCCCTTCCAGCCGGGGGAGGCTGCTCAGGGCCTCCGGGGTCCCCGGCTCCGGCAGGGGTCGCACTGGGCGGTTGCCCAGCCCCTGTCTGGGTCAGCTCTGGGTGCATCTACACATGAGCTTTAATGCACATTAGCTTATTTGAATGTGCAATAAAGTGTCACAAAAAAACCGTGCTTTTTAGCTAATGCCCATTAAAATAGGCCAATGCATATTTTTCTAGTATCTCACAGTGGGGGGACTGGATTTAATGAGCGTTACCCAAAGCACATTAACGAATGTATGGATGCACGTAGGATGCTCTGTGGAGATAAAGCAAGCCATTTGCAGACCTCCAGCATCCCAGGATGCACCACTTCCAACCCACCGTGTGCCCCAGTGTGGGGATAGAGCCCAGGTGTTCTTGCTGCTGGCCGCAGGCCCTCTAGTGGCAAGTCAGAGCCGTGCAGGCCTGAAGGCAGCATTAGGCCTCGGCACACTGCAACACTGCTGATTCTGCAGTCTCTAAGCATCATGTGTAACCTCCCCTAAAGCTCAGTTGACTGTAGGCAAATATGGGCAGGCAGATCTTGTCAGGTGTGGAATGGGAGCCTGGGTTTGAGCTCGTTGAAGTCGACAGCATCCTTTCAGTTTTCAGGGCCGGTATTTTTTTTTTACCTGATGTTTGTATGTTTTGGATCACAGGTTGAGGCCTGTGAGAATATTTGTCCTTGGCAGGCCTGTTTGTGTTGTGTTATTTAGAAGGCACACTTGTGTTATATATGTAAGCAAAACACTGTTTTTAGTTGTTTGTTACTGTTTTTGATGGGTCCATCTGTTTGTCTTCTGTTCTGACCTGTTATAACTTGTCTCATCCAAGAACAGGATGTTTGGTCTCTAAATTAATGTGGAAATTCCTGTTCCTTATAAAACAGAAATGTACTATTTAGAAGACTTAATTTCTGACTCCTAACAAAAGCGTCTCATTTTCCTGCATCTGTATTTTTCCTGCTTTCATCTGTCTCTTCTGTTTACAGTTGTCAGTTTCTTATTATACTTGTTCAGTTTTTAGCACCCATCAGGGGTGACTGGTGCCTCCTGAGTCGGGGGGGGGGGGCACAGTTTGTGGGTGGGTGTAGGGACAGGTCTGGGCCAAAAGCGCCATATCCGCTCCTGTACTTCTGTGCTGTGGCTTAGTGCCCCCCCCCAACACGCTGCTGGCCTGCGTGGCAGAAAACTGTCCCGTCCTGAGCAGTGCCAAATTGGGGCCAATCTCAGGGGGGGCACGTGCCCCCCCGTGTTCCTCCTTACCAGTTGCCGGTGGCGCCCATGGAGTACCTGTCATGGCCTGGGGTTTTGGGAGCTAATGTCATGCAAATGTAGTGGACTCTGTTTAAGTGCATATCATCAGGACTGTAAAAAGACTATGCACTTACCTGCACGTAATGTAAATAGTGCTCATTAATTCAGCTCTCAGTGCTATGGAATTAGTAGCCCTGACACTGACTGTTTTCTTTCATTGTCAAGGATCTAATAGTCAGCTTCAGAGCTACTAAATGCTGCACAGTTCTGACAGTGCTATAAAGAATGCTTATTAAATGCACAGTGCTGTCAGTGCTGTGGTATTAGCAGCCCCAGAACTGATGAGCTCCATCATTTCCAAGGTTTCTAATAGTCTGTTTTGGGCTGCTATTAGAAGCCTTGAAAATGAGGGAAGATAGCAGCTGGGAAGCTGACTAGCTCCTGTCATTTTCAAGGCTTCTAATAGCAGCCCTTTGACAGCTGTTTCCCTTTCACAGTTCCAGGCAGAGTACATTTAGTTCCAGAATAGAGAGTTTCAGTTACAGTCAGTATGCAGTTAACTGGTATACAATTAAGTTGTAAAGTAGAGAATGGGGCTAAGAGACAGCATGCACTTAAACAATTTATGCACTTAACTGTTATGCAGTTAACAGCTGTTTGTATGATGTAAGCAATAGGGAATTAGCATGGGTTGTATGTTGTACTTTTAAGTGAATTATGCACTTTCTGGCATGCATATTAATACAGTTAACTCTAATAAACATTTGTTAGTTGTAGCTACAGTTATTCTTTATAAAATGGAGCATTAGCGGAATCTTCATGCAGCTTTTTAGGGCCCAGGTGTTTGCATTAGAAAAGTCTTGCATTGGCCACTCAGTGACTTTTTGTCTTAAAGAAGTTCAGTCACTAACACTAATCATTTGATTTTATAAGAGATGCTAGAACAAACTCTGATGAATTTCTCTCATCCAGCTAATTTCAAATAACATTTGATTGTTGTACTGTCACTGTACATTTTTCCATTTTCCCATCCTCTTTGTGCTGGCATTTAAATAAATGAGGTTCTACTGTGCAGCAGAGAGAAGACCTGGATCTTTATCTGTTTTGCTTGTTGGTTATAAAATAGAGACTTATTGTTTCATAGTATCATACACTTCAAATAAAGACCTGGGTTGTCCTGTAGGGGGAGATCTTGATGTTTTTATACTTAGCAGTTAAACATTTAGGTCACTGTCCTGTAAGGGGTATGTAGGGGTGAATCTCAGTCCTTTGTAGAATCTCATTTGATTCAGTATGAGCTTTAGCTTTCTGTGGATGCTGTAGCTGGTAAGGTAGTTTCTTCTGTAGTGTGGAATAAAACATGCATATTAGACATTAGTATTTAAAATTAAACCAAGTCTGACAAGCACTTATACCATTGAGTAATATCTTGGAATTCAATGGGATGAATAAGTGTTTACATGTTAACATTTGTGCAAGAACTTTAATACCATGAATGCCCATTTCAGTTTCATTTCAATGGGGTTACTCTTAATAGTAAAGTTTTAAACACGCGTGTAAGTGTTGATACAATCATGGCCTGCACCTGCAAGAACCATGGACCAAATTAAATGCATGTACTGTACATACCCTACGTATGAATAATTACAGATTATAATTTGTCATTTATTCCTACAAACGAAGCCTTATTTCAGATTATAGTAGCATAAGATTACAGGTTACTTTTTTAAACTGATACTACACAGAGTAGCGTCACAAATCTCTTGACCCATTGAGGAAAATATGATGCTTAGGAGCAGACTTTACTTCTGATGTTTAATATTTAAAAGGCTAAAGGTAGTCACCACCATATTTTGATTCATAGTAAACAACGGCATATTAATATTTTCTAGGGAAGTCAATAAGCACAGTAATTTTGGCATGCCTCTCAACTCGGCTACTGATATAATAGGAAGTTATGCTGAACTTACTACATTGGCAACGTTAGATGTACAGATTGTTCTTATAGTGCATTCCTTGATCCATTTAGTAATTCTGTGGGTCCTTTTTTTCCCTTGGACCCTGTTCAGAGTCCTTTACAGTACCAACATTATTAATGGACTCCATATTGTACTAGCTCCATTTGTAGAATTTGCGTTCCACTGAAAAAAGTACATTTCCTCAAGCCATTTTACAATTAGTATTATTTTGTCAGGGTAAGCCTTATTACAGTTTAGCCTAAAAGTATATTGAAATGACCAGATGAAAAAGCTTGTGCTTTCCTTATTGTAATTCTTTGCATTACTATCTGGAATACAACCTGCTTACCTATTCAGATTATAGTTCATGTATGTAAACTGCTGAAACACCCCTGAGTGAAAGATGCTATGTGAAGAAAAGTATACATGTGTTGAAATAAAAAATAAATTATATGGATAACTATGAATAAAAATGCATGGCTATTTATAATTATAGAAATGATGCAGTTTTTAAATGACCAGAACATTAAACATTCAAAATGTACTATTTTCTAAGTTCTCATTTTCTTTAATTGCAGATAATCATCATTGTGGAGGATTTTAGCACAGAGATTACTGGATTTTGCTGTATCTAACCACAATGATTTCATCCTTGGTTGCTTATGATGATTCAGACTCTGAGACAGAGACTGGAAAGGCTGAAGATCCCCATATGTCTAGTAGAAAGACAAATCCTGCAAGTTCTGCTGTGAATCATCTTCAGTGTTTTGCACCTGGTGGTTTAGACAAAAAATTCACCTGCAAAACGCAGCCTGCTGAGAACATTGGCAGTTCCACAGCAAGCATGGTTCATAAAGATTGCTCTGCATATTATGTACAGACTAATAAGAGGGAGCTGACAACTGCTTATCCTAGCAAAGTATATCCTGGCCATACAGTATACATGTCCTATAAAAGCTGTGACCAAGCATCAGGCTCCTTGATAAAATCAGAACTTCTTTCTGGAAATAGCACCTCCTCTCAGAAGAGAGTACATAAAGATGATGTTGCCGCCATCTCGGGAATCCGACCGTATATCCCTAAAAGACTACGTCAAGAAAAATCTGCTAGTGTGTCTGAAAGAAAAGAATCTGAAGGACAGGGAGAGAAGACAAGTGATGAAATTAAACCAGATAGATCAGGAGAGAAAAGTTCCACAAAAATTTCTGAATTTATTAAGCCATATTTAGGATCTAAGTATAAATCCACTGAAATCCCAAAGAACTTGGTGTTTCAGATAGCCAAACACAGAGGTCCCATTAATAAAGTCCAGTGGTGTCCTGTGCAAGAATGGAGTCATATGCTTCTCTCAGCTTCCATGGATAGTACAGTCAAGGTAATGTACTTATATGACACAACAGTTTTATGTTATGGATTGCTCACAAGACTTGGTTGAATATATTTTAAGCAGCTGGGACTAGTGTTTATTTTCTGAAGTTCTCTTTCCTGCCTGCTTGCAATGCCAGTACTAAGACCTTGAGGAGAACTTTTGCCTGACTAGGGCCTATTATAGAACACAATTTTGTTACCCTTCTTAGGAACATAGTTCCATTGTACTGCTTGCAGGAGTAAGGGTTGTGGGATCCTCCTTTGACTCATGCATAGTAAAAGCCAGCGGGAGTCTTTTTAAAAGCCACTGTCCATTTATGTATTAAGCATAAATTACTTCATATAGTTGTACTGTAGATAACTATTTGTACTATAGATGACTGCAGTATGCCAATAGTGCTTGTAGAACCTCCTATTAATTTTAACTGAATTTATAGTTCAGTGCTTCAATATTAGACACACAGTTTCGGTGCCTGGGTTCCAGTCCTGACATTTAGCATGCATTTAGCATACATGTACAGACCTTGGCTCAGCCAACAGACAGGCAAATAGGAGATATCATGATCTACAAATACTATGACTACATGGAATGGAGAGGAAATATTAGAACAGGAAGCAGACAAGATGTATATAAAAATTAAATCAAGAAAGAAGCTTTAACTAAAAGTTCATCCTGGGGTAGTGGCATGTAATTCATGAAACAATTATGTATGGGTGATTATAGTAAAAATGTTTACCAGTTAATTTGTACTATTTTCTACAAAGGATACAACTTGTTGTTTAAATTCCCTCATTTAGTTGAACACATAGCTACAATATAAAACAATTACTTGCTTTTTAATAATTGTTTACACTCACTGTGACAAATATAAAATAATTTTACTTAATATTCTTAGATTAATTTTGTATTAATGGATAAGGTGAAAGCTTACCTACTTGGCTAGTATAGTTAAGGCATGCTCATTTCTGTAGCAGGTGGTGCAGAAGGGAGTGATATGGCCAGCATTATGTTCAGCTGCCCTTAACTCAAATGGGTACCAGCTGAAATCACCTGGTACCGATTCACAGCTAGGTCATGTGAGGGTGGCCCTTGGCCTGATTCCAGAGCAAGGCTTGACCTGTTGCCTCCAGAGGCACAGTGAGATGCCTTTGCCACTCTGGCACTGCACCTCATGTTTTGGATTGCTAAATGTGAAATAAATGTAAATGCTTGATAAAATAGTATACAACTTCTGCTTTTGCAAAGATAAGAAACTTCAGGTATGGCTTGCAAATTCAGGAAAGTAGATGAAAATACAGAATGTGTTTTAGTTCAGAGTAATTTTATGTTTGAGCTTTGAACTTCTGAATTAGTTACGAAGGTATTTCCAAAAAGGTGGTAATATAAATTATCAGTTTGGCCCCAAACTACTGTTGCTTGTTTCTAAACAATGAGCCTTTCTTACTGTATATATTATAAATTGCTGTTTACAAGTACTTTATAGTTATTTTATAAGATTGCTTTATAGTTAAAGCATTTTAGATCTTTGTTAAGACTTCCTTAGTGTTAGTAGATTTTGATTTAATGTACTCCTCCATCTTTCAGGGGTATAGGTTATAGCTGGGTTGGTCTAAGGACATAGGCAGGCAAGGTTCTTTGGGTAAATCTGATAATGTTTATTAGATCAATTCACATGGTTGGAAAAATTCTTCTTTGCAAGCTTGTGGGTACAAATACCCTTTGTCAGGCTGAGGAAGGATCTGCAGTTGGTCTGTGCTCTTTCTGGATGGAATGAATAGTAAAGAAGCCAGAGGCTGGTATGCATGCAAGAAAGGCAGTCTGTGAAGATGTAAATTGAGGAGTAAGTAGGTGAGAGAGAGGTTGGGGATGGAGGGGAATGAATGTAGCTGGTAAATAGTGGAGAGGTAGCTGGGGAGTCAGATGTTAGGCAGGTTATAATGCGTCTTAAATCCAAGGTCTGTATTTAGTCCATGATTTTTTTTGTATGCAATAGGTTGATGAAGTGAAGTTCATAGGCTTGTCTGAAAGGTGTTTTGTAAATTCCCTTTGAGGATTAGAACTGAGAGATTATAGAGAGTGTAGTTTTCTTGTGAGATGTGTGCCTCCACAGGTAATTGGGTATTCTTGTCTTTAATAGATTTTTGGTGTGCATTCATTCTGGTGACAGTTGTTGTTTGGTCTCTCCTACATATTTTCCATCAGCGCATTTGGTGCATTGGATGAGATGTATTACATTTCTGGAGGAGCAGCTGTAAGATCCAGGAATGCTGATGGTTCTCCTGTAGGGTGTAGTTGTGGGGGTTGGTGGAGATGTGTTGGCAGGATTTGGTGTGTTTTGGGCCATAGGAAGTTTGCTTCTGGTGATGAGGTTAGCGAGATTTGGTGCTTGTTTGAAGGCTAAGATGGGTGGTTCTGGAAAGAGATCTTTAAGAGCTGGTTCTCCTTCTAGTATGGGTTGCAACTGTGAGGATTTTTCATATAGGTTCCAGGGAGCGGTGATATGTCATAATAATCAGTGGCATGTGATTCATAGGGGTTTTCCTTCTGTACTGCAGTAATTCTTCATGTGGTGTATCTGGGTGGCTCTTTAAAAAGTGTGATCTGTCTCGCTGGAGGAGTGTCCTTGTTGGATAAAAGCCTTTTTGAGATTTGTGAGGTGACACTCAGGTGTTCTCAGTGAAAATTCAGCGGTATTGGGGGGCTTGGCTGTATATTACAGCTTTCTAGGTGTGTGTAGGGTGATTGCTGGTTCTGTGCAGATGTGTATGTTGGTCCATGGGTTTCTTGTATATTATGGTCTGTATTTTACTGTTCTGGATAGTGATCATTGTATCTAAAAAGATGTTGGTGCTGGAGTAGTCAAGAAATAGTCTGATGGAAGGGTGATGATTGTTGAATTTCTGATGGAAATCAGAGATTGCAGGTTTTCTGTCCAAATAATGAAGATGTCATTGATATATCTTAAGTATAGCAAGGGTCTGATGGTGCAGTCCTTGAAATTCCTGGAATTCTTCTTCCAGGTGGCTTATGAAAAGATTGCCATGCTGTGGGACAAAACAACTGCACCGGGCTCTGGAGCCTCAGCCAGACTCTGTGGCAGTGTGGGGTGCATGCTCCAGAGCCTGGTGCAGCTGTTTGCAACCTCCCAGCTGCCTGCCACAGCCAACCTGGGCTCTGGACAGCTGTAGCAGGTGGTGGGCAGGAGGTGTGCATGCACCTACTGCTGCCATGGAGCCCAGCTAGGGCTCCAGAGACCAATGCAGCTGTTTGCATCCTCCTGGTTGCAGCCAGCCAGAGCTTGCCCTCCCAGCTACCTGCTGTGAGCAGCCTGGGCTCCGTGGCCAGTGACAGCTGCCCAGAGCCTGGGCCTGCTGTGGTGTGCCAAGCAACATGGCCTTGTGCGCCATGCTCTGGCACGTGTGCCATGGGTTGCTGACCCCTATCTTAGGCTATGGGTGCCAGTGCTTTCTGCCCCTTGCACTTCTCCCCTTCTCCTTGCTTCCTCCCTCCCTCCTGCCTTCTGATGCCTGCTGGGGCACTGCGTGACTTCCCATTTCCCCTTCCCTGCCAGACTGTGCCTAGCTCAAGCTAAAGGATCACTGGTAAGTTTAACTGGTTGTTATAGTGCATATCAGTTAAACAATTAATTATTTAACCTTTTACAGCTCCACTGGCTTTTACTGGTTAGCCCCATTTCTGAGAAAATGTGTACTTTTGGTAAAACTACCATTAGAAAATACCTTTTCATGCTAAACTTGCAGCTATTTTACTTATTTAGTGAGGCAATCAGGAATAGAAGTTGTGGCATTTAAGCTTATTGTCATGATTTTTAAAATTTGGGCAGGTTTAATACAATGTTACCAAAGTTCTGGGTTCAGATAATGTTCTCATGATTTGGGTTTACATAGAAAAGCATTTCTGATGGGCAAAATTAACTCTTAAGGAGAACAGATCATTCATCTGCATGAAATATATCAAGAACCATTATTTAAAAAATGCTTCTACTGAAATAGGAGCCTTTACGTTTTTCTAAATTCATGTTATAAAATGGAGGATAGAATCTGATATTGCATGATGGCCCATGATGTTAAACAGGAAGAACAGACCGTGGTATGAGCACATTTCTGAGCAGCTAAATTAGGGAAA